ATTGTTATTATATTAGGAATAATAATCTTGGCTAATGAAATAGAAATTTCAAGTTATATATAATAAGAAGATATTAGGAGTGATAATACTTCACCAGACACTTTGTCCAACCAGATTTCCTTTTCCGTACGTAATTCATTCATATGTCACGGATTTAAATTTCAAAGTCTCGAATACGCACGGAAAATGTTGGAACTCCGCGAGATAAATTCGGATCGGAAGACACATCGAAAATGGAGTTCAGACAGAATATGAAGCAAATTTTAAGTCTAATTTTAGTCTAATTTTCTTAGTACTAACATGACTTGTGGATGTTGCATTAGTACGAGGAAGTTTCATTATTTTTCTATCACTAAATTTTCTTGTCGTGATTCCCGATCGCGATGATCGTGCGCTTTTCATCGACATCGCTGGATGAGAGAAAAGTCGTGCAAATGCAAATCGTTTGAATGATCTCGGATAAGAGCGCTCGTTGCGCGAAAACCCGATTTATCCTCATTCTTTTTCTGCTCTCGCGCGCACTTTTTGCATCGCGTAACGTCGTTTACGTAAGCGGCTGCGTATTCTGGATCCGAGCGGATCCCGCGGATGCTCAGGTCGTACGTGTCTAGTCTCGTTCGGAAACACAAGCTCTAGCTGCGTGGACGATACGCGAATATACGATTGTGCGTATTTAATCAAGTAATAAAATATATGGAGGCCACATTAAGGAGATAAAAATAATGATTTTTTTCATAAATAAAAAATTATTATAAATAATTTTTTTTCATAAATAAACACATGGAAAACGCGAGGGGTACGAGTGACGTCCCTTGGTGCGGTCGTTGAACGACGAGAAAACGTCAGCGCGCGTAGACGAAGAAATAGATTGATATTTCTAAAAAAAAGTTTCCAGGCAATATTTTATCCGTGGCGTGACGAATGTGCGCAGGTATCCGCGTCGATCGGCGACCATCAGCGCGTGTCTGATAGAACATTTCGCGAAAACTCGAGCGCAATCTCCCACGAGACTAATCGGCACGTCGCGCGCCTGAAAATGCGTACATATCCACGAGAACGAACGAGAGGAAAAGTCCGATTTCGGCTGCGGCCGCGTTGCATGCGACGAACGCAGAAATGTCGTGGACAATGCGCTGATTACCGCGCGAGTTTTGCTGCAACCGCCGGCTTGACAAGGAAAGAGAGAGAAAAAATAAGAGGAAACAAAAGGTGATGTTGGATAACATTGTCGTCCATGTGTACACGCACAGAACCGAGCGACGACTCGTAACAAAGCGCGAAAGCTCACGTTCTTGTCGGTCGCTTGATTTTCGCGTGTTTGTTGCAACCTATTTCCTCTTTCTTCCTCAATGCCGACCGTACAGGTGCGAAATATCGTGAGAAAAGAGAGAAAGACTCACCGATGCCTTCGACGACGTAGCGGTCCTTGGCGTCCATGCTTGTAAGCTCGGTGACGCTCACAACGATTTTGACGCTCATCCTCTTCTCTGTACGCGGAAGCTGCGTCGTGCAGAAGTTCCGCTGAGTATCGTAACGTCACGCATCCGGCGTCCTTCGGCCGCAAGCACCTGATTCAACAGACAAAGTAGATCGTACAGATATACGCACGGCGCTCTTCTATTTCGTTTCTCTTTATTTTAATATGTAGGCCTAATGGCGCGGCGCGAGAGAGCAGATCGCGTGTGCGATTGTGTCCGCCACTACAATCACGATACATAATCGAGTCGCGTGTCTAAAGCCTGGGCCCTTATTCTTGAAATAGTTGCATATACGCAAGTTTTACTGCGCAGGTTTAATCATACCATAAAATAGCTGCGCAATGAAAATTACGTATACGCAAAAATTTCAAAAATTGGGGCCCTGATCTGCAACATGCTCTTTGCGTTCTGTTTCTTGTCTTCTGTCTTTTTCTGGCTTAAAGCTTAAAGTTTGAGTCAGAAAGAGATAAATAAAAAGAAACAGGAAGCAAAAAATACATTGTAGATCAAGCTTAAAGAACGCAGCAGCAGCGGTGGCAGAGCTACGGCATCCTCTACGTTAGACATGCGATTGATCGATTTTTTGTGCATATCCATTATGCAGCTGTGCGAGTCAGTTCGAAAATGCAGGCTGACTTTCGACGTTATCAAGCGACGATATTTCGAGCGCCGTCGTTCGAAGGGCAAGACGCGCCGCGTTCGAATCGCGATTACGTGTAATGCTAATGTATGTCCCGAGGTTGACGAAAAGCGAAAAGAGAAACATCATGAGGTCTACAAGTCTATCTTCTTCTACAAAAATTTAATCCTAGATCCTTCAATATAGATAAAATCTTCCACCACATCAACTTTTTAAATGTTAAGCTTGATCTACAATGTGTTCTTCGCTTCTCCTGTTTTTTTTCTTTTTACCTCTTTCTGACTAGAACTTAAAGTTTTAAGCCAGAAATAGACAGGGAACAAGAAACATGAAACAAAGAACGCATTATAGGTTAAACTTAAAGCTTGATCTACAATGTGTTCTTTGCTTACAATGCTTCCTGCTTCTTTCTCTTTTTCTTTCTTACTCAAACCTTAAGCTTGAAGCCAGAAAAGGACAGAAGACAAGAAACAGAACGCAAAAAGCATATTGTAGATCAGGCTTTATTGTTTTTAGAAATATGTGTTTTGTTTTCTTCATTATAATTTTCTCAACTTCATTGAATCGTAAAAACATTAGTAGATTTATATATTTGTTTTCTACACCGATTAAGAATATATTACAGAGCAAATGAAAGTGCTCTGGGTAAAATTTTTTCATCCATGTTCAGGGTTCATCAATTTTTTTATATTTAGGGTTTAAAGTTAATTCAACTTCACATAGAAACCTATCGAGAGAGGTCATTATATTACTTCTCCAACGTTGATAATGGATATTTTAACCATTTTCATTTCTAACGACTACTAATTAAACTTCAATATTAAACAAAATACTAATTAAACATCAATATTAGATATTTTAATCACTAATATCTTACTAATAAATCACTAGCTTTTTACTAATAGATGGGACAAAGCTTCTGACTAATATCAAGAAGAAAAAAAAGAAGAACAGTAGCATTTTTCTACGTTTTTGATTAAACGCGTCCAGAATTCGATTCCAATTCTAATGATTCCTAACTTACAAAAGGAGTTATTGTTTTATTATAATTTCCTCAATATCGATATTAAATGTTTTGATCACTAATAGCATTTTCTCGCGTATTTGATTAGATACATTTTGTATGTTCAAAATTCAATCTCAATTCTAACGATTCCCAACTTGCAAAGGGATCATTATTTCATTATAACTTTTTGAACGTCAACATTAGATATTTCAATCGCTAATATTATTTTCTTGCGTTTTTTATTAGGTGTATTCTGCACTCATCGTGTATAATCGGAATTCAATCTCGATTCTAACGATTTTTAACTTGCATCCCGCGACCTCGTCGTCGACGGCGTCAACGAGGCTCTCCCTAGCTCGCCCGATGGGCGATCTATGATTGTACGATCAACCAACCAACCTGAGACAATCTACGTATATCCAGACGTGTCCGCCGTTCCGACGCTCGATAAAAATCGTGCGTATCGATAATCTGCGTCCGCGCGGGCCGAGAGTCGCGACGAGTCTGCTGGGAGCTGTGCGTCGGAGTAAGACGGCGGAGATGGCAGCGGCGGCGTTGGTGGCGGCGGTTGCGGCAGCGGCGGTGGCAGCGACGACGATGCCGATGGCGGACACTTTCATGAACAACAACAGCAACAACGAAAAACAGAAGTCACTACACGCGACGGAGGCTGCGGGAGTCCGAAATTGCCGGGCGTTCCGGCCGCGGCGCGATGCCTGGCGAATCCCCGAAGCGCTTCACCGAAGGCCGAAGGCCTCGCGAAGGACTGGTCGCCACCGATCCAGGAAGAGCCCGGTGTGCAGACGTGCCGATCCTATCTTGACAGGAAAAGACACTTGTGACGTCACCGCATCCTCCACGAGTAAGGTCGCGGGAGCGAAGTGTATCGCCTTGATCGCCGAGGTATTTTCTTCAGTTTCGGCGTGCCGATTTTCTTCAGCTCTCTCTCTCTCTCTCTCTCTCTCTCTCTCTCTCTCTCTCTCTCTCT